TGATAATTATGATAAACCAATTAATCATGGAGGAACAAAACTAGATTTAAATTGTAAAATAGATACTAAAAAAATCTTATTAACTTGGGCAGATTCAATGATATTATTCTTTTTATATAATAAAGATGATACATGGGAAAATGCTGAAAGAAAAATAGATTTCTTAATAGCATCCTTTGAAAGAGATGTTAGAAATTGGTGGGAAGGAATAAACAGTGATATAAAAACATTAATAAAACGAAATGTACAAATAGAAATAATTAAGTCGGATAGACAATGTATAGAAAAATTGGTAGAATATATTTCAGATGAGTTTTTAGGAGAAAATTGGATAAAAAATGCTGAAGAAGAATTAATAAGAGAAAAAGATAATGCTCGAATAAAACTAATAAACTTAACAATATGTGATATGTGTAAAATTAAAGAATATACTTGTGAATTTAAAAATTACTATTATATTCAATTTTATAGTAATGAAAATCAAGAAGTATACCAAGACATGTATTATAATAAGTTACCAGGTTCATGGGGAAAACATTTTAAAATAGAATTTGAAAAATATGTTAGAGATAATACTAGAATACCTAGAATTTTAGGTTCAAGAATAAAATTTTTATTTGAAAGACTTGCATATATATGTCAACAAAGACAATTAATGAAAAATCAGGAAAATTAACTAAAATATATTGTGAAGATATGAAAACTCTTGTGCAATGGGGATGTAATCCTGAAAAAGAATTAACAAAAGAAAATATAAAAAAGAATTAATTTAGAAATTTTAATAAAAAATATATAAAACCTAGAAGAAGGTATTATAAACTAAAAAATAACCAATATAATCAATAGAAGAATAAAAAGAAAAATAAAAGCCAATGTAAATGTTGGAATTATGGAAAAATAGGTCATATAAGTCCTGATTGTGATAAAAAGAAAGTTAGAATATTAAAAAAAGAATACTTAGAAATAAAAGATGAATTAAGTGAAATATCAGATATTGAATAATACTATGACCAAAAAGTATATATAAGTGAAACAGAAGATGATGGATCAGGATCTGAATAAAGAGTTTGAAGAAATAGAAAGTAATAATATAAATATACAAAAATATGAAGGAATAGAAGGATATGGATTAAAAGTCACTTTTGATAATAACAAGTTTAGAAAATTGCAAAAATTATCGTTAGACTTAAAAATAGGAAAATGGGAAATCTTTGATAGAATTTGAAAAAGAGAAAGAATAACAATAAATGAATATCACAAAATAGAAAAAATCATAGACGTAAGAACAACTTATGGACAACATAAATTAAATCTTTTAACAAAAAATATAGTTGATGAACTATTAACAAAAATTAGTAAAAAACAAAGTGAAAGAATCCAATATGTTTATTTAGTAGGAATACAAATAATGTTTAAATCACTATTTAGAGAAGAAATGTATTCACCCTTAACTATAATTTTACATGATGGAAGAATAATAAACTTAAAAGATAGTCATTTAGGAACAATAAAAGGAAATTTAGCATATCAAAAAATTATATTTGCATCCAAAATATTGTGTATCATTAAAAGAGGAATTTTAATGAAGTTTTAGGACTACATTTCAAGTTTCATAGAGATAATATTATGCAACAACGTGATTAAATTATGACTATAGAATATAGAACTTTATACACATTTACCAATTCTAATTATGGGAATATCTATTCCAATAGGCCATATATTGAAGTTCATAAAGAATGTAAAGATATTAGTAAAATAATAGAATCAAATAAACAAATAAGTTTAATTCCAGAATAATATGAATTTAGTATAGCAAAAAATAAACCTGAAATAATAGAATTAAATGAAAGAGAATGTTCTAATAACATAACATTTAAGGATGAAAAATTAATTAAAA